TGAGAATTGAACTCTGGGCCTTCACACTGAACATTTTTTTAAAAAAATTTAGAGCCAAGGTCTTGCTGAGTCATTTAGTTGCAGTGCTGGGCTGGAACCTGCCATTCTCCTGCCTCAGCCTCCAGAGTGAGCCACCATACTGAGGTTGTTGAGAGGATTTGTGACAAAGGTTTCGGGAACGAACCTTCAGGCTGAGAACTGTGTCCTTGGGGCTGTGTGGCCTGGCTTCATCTTCCTCTTTCTCACTCCCCTGTGGCCACCTGTTTCTGAGGCATGCAGTGTGACAAGGAAAACCCAGAGGCTGGAAATAGAGCTGGTTTCCCAGAATCTCAGGTAGTGAGTGGGGGCAGGGCTGGGGATTTCTTGGACATGAGCTCACTTTAGCTGAAATGCAGCCGTCACGTGCCTCACAGCTCTGGTGGCTCCTGGTGACAGGACAAGGAGCCTGCTCTAGTGGCAGGCGCTGCAAAGCTGTTCTCTTGGTTTCCACGGAAGGCCTGAGCTTGCACACTGCCAACTTGGGCCAGGATCTCGTGGGGACCTGCCTTCTGTGATGAAAGTGCGCTGTCAGTCCCAACCCCGGAACTGCATTGGCTCAGTAGCCTGGGACTCTCATTAGCTGACTGCCACCTGCAGACGTGAGGTCCTCCCTGTGAGCCGGCCAGTGACGTTCCCCCGCAACACTGGCTTCCGCAGCACACTTGGTGTTGGCCTGGAGTCCTCACTATGTAATCTGGTCGAGTGCTCCGCAGCCTTAGACAAAACCTAAGAGCAAGGTAGGCCTGGCCATTAACACTGCCCACTCCCAGCTCTGTCTGGGTGTATGCTTCGCTGGCTTTTGTGCTCAGGAATCCTGACCCAAGGAAACGACCATAGCGAACAGAGGGACAAGCAACACATGGAGTGAATGTTTAAATAAAAAGTTTAAAAACACATTACAGAAAAAGACACACTGCAGTTCACGCCCTAACTTTGTTTTTTTTTGTTTGTTATCGGTACCAGGGATCGAACTCACAACCGCATGCTTGCAAGGCAGGCGCTTATGCTGCTGAGCTAAATCCCCAGCCCCTATACCCTCACTTTGAACACACTTTCCCCACTGTTCTTGCTACTTTCTGAAGCAATTCTGGAAGCCCTCTTTCATGAATATCTTTCACTGCAATAAGTGTTTTAAAATTTAAGCATTCACTGTATTGCTTGATCTCACCTGGTATTACTCTTTTCTTGCTGTGTAGTAAGTTACCCCTAAGATGTAACCACTTGGCAGTAGACAGTGTTTTAAGAGTTGCAGGGGGTGGGGTGTTTATTATATTGCCCAGTTTGTCTTTGAACTCCTAGGGTCAAGCAGCCTCCTCCTTGACCCTGCTGAGGCGCTGAGACTCCAGGCGAATGTTGTCACAGCCAGTGACAGCAGACATTTATTACCTGGTATGGATTAAGTAAGTGACAATGCCAGGCAGTTCTGTCCCAGGGTTCCGGGTGCAGATGTGGTCATCAGGCCGCAGAACCCATTTCCGAGATGGCATACTCATGTGGCTGGCAGGCTGGCACTGACCATTGGCAGAAGGCCTCGGCTACTTGACTATGTGAAGGTCTCATGTCAATTAAAACCTTAAGGCGTGCATTACCTTGGTGTGATAAACGTTTGCCGACGAGATCTACACTTTCTCTACTTCTATAATTCCGTCTGCGCTCCTTTCTTTTTTCCTTCCGACTTCCTGTGGGTACCTGTGTGCCTCCCTCACTGAGCCACGCAGTGCTGTTTCGCGCCTTATTTAACTGCCATTTACAGTGCCCCATCTCCCCGTGTTCCTATGTCTTCTTCTCCCGCTGCCCTGGACTGGCCCAGCGCGGGACACAAGGCGCTCACCACGAAGGGAACGGAGTAGGGTCGCTTTCCACCCACAGTCCATCCACGGCGGGGACCTCTGACCCACGGAGAACTCCCTCAGATGGTGCAGGGGCCTGGATGGCAGCTGTCCCGGTTCTGTTCCTCCAAGCCACTGAGAACACCAGGGACACAGAGTGGGGGGTGTGGATGCAGGAGCAGAGGCCCCGGCAACGCCTTCCCAGAGCAGGATCAGAGGGCTCCACTCGCAGCCCGGGCTGGGCCGCTTAGAATGGAGAGCGTGTTCTTCCCCATGTATGTCTGTCCATCTCTGTGACAGCGTCTCAGGAAGGAGAGGAAGAAGAGAAGCGGGGGGGGCCCCCTCCCACGGATGCTGCCCCAGGCCTCCTCCCTTCCCTGGCCGTCCACCCACGCAGCCTCCCTCCGCTGGAGGGCGCACTGCCTCCAGCTCCGCTCCCACCTTCCAGGTGGCTCCTTGCTGCCCATTATTAGCCATGCTGACTCTTCTTTTAAGGCCTAATGCAGGGCTCCTCAGTTCTCCAGGACAGAACCCCACTTCACTCTAGTTTATGTAAGAAAAGGAATGTGGGGACACAGAATTCCCTGATGAACCTGCCATTGCATTTAGTTATACCCCCAAAATAATTGAAAACTGGACATTCAAACAAATGCTCACACATGAATGTTCACAGAAACATCAGTAATGGACAAAAGGTAACAACAATCCAAGACAATGTGAGGTCCATTAGTTGATGAGTGGATAAACAAAAGGCAGTGTGTCCATGTACTGGAATATTATGCAGCCCCAAAAAGGAGTGAAGTGCTTAAACATTCTGTGATGTGGGCGAACCTTGCAACACCATGTCATAGACTGTAAGTGAAAGAAGACACACCCAGAAAGCCATGTAGTATATACTTCTATTTTTATGAAATTCTCAGAACAGGTGAAGCCATAGAGACAACAGACTAGTAGTTGCCAAGAACTGAGGGAAAGGAGAAATAGGAAGCGGTTGCTTAATGGGTTTGGGTTTCCTTTTGGAATGGTGAAACATCTTGAACTGGATAGAAGTGTCAGTTGTCCAATCTTGTAATGCGAACTATAGACTTTAAAATGGTTACTGGTAAATTTTGTTTGGTTTGAATTTTATTTCAATAAAAAGAAAAAAAATCAATGCTTAAAAAATAGAATCTAAACCAGGTGTGGTGACCCACGCCTAGAATCCCTGCACCCCAGAGGCTGAGGCAGAAATACCACCGTGAGCACGAGGCCAGATGGGTACATATGAGGCTACTGTGAGTGTGAAAACCAGCCTTGCACCGCCACACCTGGCTGCATTTATGGTTTCTTTGGTGTTTGTCTGTCTGTTTTGGAGACAAGGTCTCACTATGTAGTCCAAGCTGGCCTTGAACTCACAATGTAGCCCACACTGGCCTCAGACTCTCAATGTACCTCCTGGCTCAGCCTCCCAAGAGTGAGGATTACAGGCGTGTGCTACAATGTTTGGCTGCATTTATGAATTCGACCTTAAAATATCTTTTTTTAAAAGAAATATAAAGAGCCAGGTATGGTGACACATCTGTAATCCTAGCGCTCAGAAGGCCGAGACAGGAGGCTTCCCAAGAGTCTGAGGCTAATTTGAACTACATAGTGAATAATAGTGAATTTAAGTGCAGCCTGGACTACACAGCAAGACCCCATTTCAAAAAGAAAACAAACAAAAAGATATTAAAAGCAAATCTAAGATGACAATATGTAACCTATTAACTAGTGATTTCTTACTGTATATTTTTTCTTGAAATTCTGTATTACTTATACCCTTTTACTGCTTTGGTTTTTTTATTTCCTTTCTTTTTTCTCTTTAAATAAAAAAAAAAAGAGCAAATCTAGAATGATGCAATCTTTAAGAAACAACTTTAGCTGGGTGCAGTGGTATACACTTATAATCCCAGCACTCAGAGAGGCCGAGACAGAAAGATCAGAAAGTGAAATCCCACTTGGACAATTTAGCAAGACCCTATCTGAGAATTGAAAAGCAGGCAGGGTGCAGAGCTGGGCAAGGCCATGAGTTCAATCTGCAATGCCTCAAATAACAAATAAATAAATGGATAGATGGACAAACAGACCGACAGACAGACTGGCAGAAAATACTTTAGGAGCTCAGTGGTAGAGTACTTGCTTACCAAGTACAAGGGTCTGGGTTCAATTCCCAGCACTGTAAGAATAAAAAGAAAGGGAGCTTCTGTAAATCTTACTGGCCGAAATGAATATGAAATAAATTCCTCAGAGTTGTCTCCTCTCTGGAAGAATTATCAAAGGGCTCAGAGCCACACGCTCTGAGCATCTCGGGAGCCCTGACCCCGGAGCTCAGAGGTGCCTGCCGGTCCGAAGGCTCCACAGCTCTCCAGCCCGCTTGGCTTTCCCCCACTCCCGGAGTCTTTGTTTAACCCACCCCTTTGTTAGGAGCCCAGCCAGCTCTGGGGGAAGTCAGACCCCTTCCTCTCTCCAGGAGCCAAGGGGGAGGGGAGGCCCAGTGGGCGAGGTCAGGACTTTCTTCAGGGGACAGATGTTTTTCAGTGCTGGGGATGGAGCCCAGGGCCTTGCACATTGTAAAGAAGCCCCTGACTGCAAGCTCAGCCCCTTATTTTAATAATTTTAGCTCATATAAAACTAATATATCTGTAAGCACAGAAAGCAGTATGGATAAGTGTACAAAAATAATGCCATCAGGATTCTGAGGGAGATGGGTGCTCCATGATTTTTGCTGCCTGCTTTATATTTTTTATCTGGATTTCTTTTTATAGAGCATGCTCTACTTTTGTGCTCACAAAGAAACTTTCCTTTTTATTTTTAGAGAAGAAGCCATTATACTGAGGGATACTTCTCTTTTTTCTTCTTTTTTTTTTCAAGATCTAGCAAAAGATAGATGTGAGATACTGAATCCATCCCCAACAAAGGACGGTTTCTTTGCTTTTTCTTGACTTTGAGAACTTTTAGAAAGTAACCTTCCTGCACCCCACACAAGACCATGCCCTTGCAGGCCTGTAAATTTTACCCACACTACTGTGCAAAGCCATTAAAATAATGCAGCCACAGGACTGGGGTTGCCGCTCAGAGGCAGAGTGTAAGCTCACTATGAGGGTTCGATCCCTAGCATCAAAAAATACAGTACAATAATCAGGCAGGCTGATGCCCGGCCTGAGCTTGTTTTGGAGGTCAAGCAAGGTCAAACCTCGCGCAGTGGCAGCAGTGGCGGTGGGTGATGGGAGGGGCTCCCACTGTCCACAGCCTCCCTGCAAACTCCCCTTCCTGAAATGAAAGCTGGCCGCTGGGGTGCTGATGGCCTGGTGCTGCCGAGCTGGCTGTTCTGCAGACCTCCTGCTCTGTGAGCCTCTAGCAGGTCCCAGTGGCCTGGGCCGTGAATGGATGCCCTGCCCATGGACTCCTAATGCCGGGGCTCTAGGGGTATTTTTTACTGCTTGCTTACTCTTCCTGAGGGCCTCCTAGCTGCTCTGCCACCTCCCCTATGTCCTCTCTGGCCAGCCTTGCTTTTGTGGTCAGGCCAGGTGGGAAAAAGCTTTTGGCTTGGCTCCTGGTTTGTCAGGAGTCCAATATTAGCAGGGGTCTTGCCTGGTTTCAGGTATTCCCCAGGGCCTTTCCTAGCTCCATAGTCATGTTTCCAGCCAGAATTTCTTGGCTCTGGGAAAGACTGAATGCCTGTCTGAGTCTTCTGGGCCTGTGTTTCATTTGGAGCTGCCTAGCCAAGTGCTGGGTGACAGTCTCGGGCACAGTCAGCCCACCCCCTCCTGCTCGGCCACAGAGGAGGCCCTTTGTGTCTTCGTCCTGAAGTCTGGAGGGGGTGCTCCTAGCGCCTTCCAGAGCCCTGTGTCCTGGGCTCACTTCAGCTCCAGCCCAGTGTCAGGGGATGCTGGCTGTCTGCTGGGCCAAGCAAAAGTGAGAATGCCAACCCTGAGCAGCCCGGCCCAGCCCCTCTCTCTTTCTGAGTCAGACGGGGACCTGCTCTGCACCTGGCGCTTTCCTGCTAGGATTTCCAGCTGTTCTGATCCTTCATGCAGGGGCTGACAGGGCTGAAGAGATCCAGAACCAGAACAACAGAGGGGACCCGCAGAACGTCAGGCCTCGCCTCCGAGGGCTTAGAGATGCCCTTTGTGGACTCCCCACCACTTCCTCCTGCCTTTGGTTTGATGGTAGCCATGGCCTGATGCGGATGCTGGGCCCTGGAGTCCAAACTTCAGCAAAGAGAGACTTTATCATGGTGACAGCACTGCCACTCCACTGCTGAGAAGTGTGAGCCAGCACTGCTGGTGACGCTGCCAAATGGGACCCTGTTCAGGACGTGGACAAGGTAAGCAGGACTCCGGGCCCCCCGGTGTGTCCTCTTCCCACCATCATGGGGAGACGGAGGCCGTGAATGTTTAATAATGTGGCCCTGACACAGACATCTCCACTTCCCTCCTCTTTGAAGCTGTAATGCCTTTCTCAAGTTCCCCTTTGAGCTTCTTTTAGGCATCATGACCATAAATACACGGGCATTTGGAGCTGATAAAGAGTAAACTTCGAGGAGTGTACAGCTGGAACCTTGCAGGGAGGAGAGGGCTTGTCTGTGAGGCGCTTGCCCTCCGGGAAGTCTACGGGAGATAAAACAGGCCAGGGAGATGCCTTCACTCCACCCCCTGTTCTGCTAGCCAGCATTCACTGCCAACCTCCTTCCCCAGTTTGCCAACCAGCTGATCTCTGCTCTGGCAGGGAGCGAGCTGCAGGAAACGCTTCCCACTGACAGGGAAAGCGAGGCACCCTGGTGGGCCCTGTGTGACCTGGAGAACCAGCTGGAGGGTGAGGGGGAAACCCAGTTCCCACCAGGCAGCCACTGTGCGTTGGCTTTGCCCTTGGACTCTGGACAAGGGGGGATCATATTGTCCACCCTCACATCACCTCCACCCAGAGGTGGACAACAGCTACAGATGGGGAAACTGAGGCTTAGAGATTCTGGGCTGCTCGAAGTCTTCTTGGAGCTGGGGAACCATGGAGCAGGGGCAGAGGCCAGGAGGCCTGGAGGTGGGGGCAGGCTGCCACGGTGACGGAAGCTAAGGCTGGGGACACGGGGTTGAGTCCTGCCCCTGTTCTCACCCAATGGCCGCAGACCAAAGCTCCAGGTCACTGGCAGCCCCAAGGAAGGGGGAGGAAGAGAAGACAGAAGGCAGGGGGTGTACTAGCACAGCAGGGGGGTGCTGGTGGTCAAGGGTGACCGAGCACAAGATGAGTGTCCCACTCAGGCAGCAAACGCCGGTGTCAGGTCCTGTGCTAGACCAGAGTAGGGGCACAGTGTGACTGCGCAAGCTGGCAACCATAGGCCACTAGGACTGTGCTTTTCCCTGAGCCCCAGCTGTCCCCAGGACACTGCTGTCCTCCAAGCCCTCTTCAGTTGAGGCTCCCTCAGGCCCAGGAGATGGCCCCCTCATTCTCTGCTGAGGTTTCCAAACTCTTCTATTTCCTGAAACACCCAGCTCCCTGGGCAGTGAAACTATTTCCCATGATTCCACAGTGGTGACACCTGCCCTGGTACATTTGCCCAGCCACAAACTCACAGCATCGTAAGTGAAGAGGATAAGTCCATCGGGGTCATCGGTTGTAACACATGCACCACCCTGTGGGAGATGTTGATGGTGTCTTTGTACCTTTTGCCCAATTTTGGCAAAAGTGCACTAAAAAATAGTGTTTTGCTTTGATGGCGGTGGGGATTGAACTCTGGGAATGCCCACTGAGATACATCTCCCTTTTCAATTTTTATTTTAAGACACAGTTTTACTAAGTCACTAAATTGGCCAAGCTGGCTTCAAATTTTCTATTATCCTGCCTCAGCCTTCCAGTGCTGGAATGGCAGGCATTTACTACCATGCCAAGCTCTTTATTTTTTTTTCCCACAGATTACTCTTTTTTTTTTTTTTTTTTTTTTGTATTTTTGCCGGTACCAGGGATCGAACTCATGACTGCCTGCTTGCAAGACAGGTGCTTATGCCACTGAGCTAAATGCCCAGCCCCTCAGACTACTCTTACAAAGAAAAAAAATTTTTTAAAAATTTGAACCAATACAGTTATGTATCCGCCTATAAGACCAAAATAGCAAGACTTTATCTCAAAAACAAAACAAACAAAAAACCCAAAAACATGCAGTGACACATGCCTACCATCCCAGCTACTCAGGAGACTGAGGCAGGAGGATCGGCAAGTTTCAGGCTAATTTACCAAGATCCTGTTTCAAAATTTAAAAGTTTAAAGACTGAAGCTGTAGTTCAGTAGTATAGTGCTTGCCTGGCATGCTCAAAGCCCTGGGTCCCAGCCCCAGCACTGCACAAATAAAATGCAAAAGTAACAAAACCCCAGGTCCTGTGGAGTGCATGCCAGCTTCCACTTCTGTTTGTTATTGTCCTGTGTAATCCTTCTGGTCACTTCCCCCTTCCTTGATGACTTTCAGCATTGGGCTCTTCCTACTGCGTTGTCATTATTTTTGGTGACCCCCACATCTGTGCTGACAGCCCACCCTACGCCTGGCCTCTTAGTGTCCTGAATTCCTTCCCGCTAGCCACATATTCCTCCTACCCCACTCCAGCACCCTGGCCACATCCTAAATCTCGGAACTGTACCACTTCAGATGCCTATACTACTTCAATGTCTACACGACTTCAAAAAGTCAGATCAAAAGACTCCACCACCCACTTTCACTGCAACCCATTTCTTTAGTCCTTGGGCTCAGCAATTCTCCTAGCTGAGACTTCAGCCCACTACCTCCCCCAAGGAGCTCCTCATTCCCAGCCAGCTGAGATCCCACGATCTAGATGCCAAATCTCCTTGGCAAATGCTCTTATCTTTCTTGTTCTGGTCTCTCTCCACCACACTCATTGGTTGACATCCCAGTTGTGGTTAAATCAAACTGCGTACTTCACACCTGCACCCAAGTGGTTGAACACCACTAAAAAAAAGTCATCAGATTTCCTGGCAGTTCAAATGCCGATCTGGAATTCATAGCTATAAATTCGAAGTAACTCCACCCAGAGTAGCTACGATTTCAAACTTCCTCTCTTCTGCACATATTTTCATTACCCTTTCTACTTTCATTCTTGGTCTAACCTCAGACTACCTTCTCCAGAGAAAACAGGTACCAAGCAACTGTCTGATCTCCCTCCCACCAAAGCCACAAGAATGACCAGAGCGCTGGCCACCTGGGACCTGTGATCAGTTCCTCCACTGTGCTTGGTCCCCTTTCGCCAACTCACGAGTTCCTTTTTCTCATGTACCATCAGTTTCTTGGATCCTTTCCACTAAAGTAAAATAGCACCAACCTCCCTTCGCATAAAAGCACAGAAGGCTTGGCCTGGTGACCTCTGCTGGCTGCTGCACGACGTTCTGCTCCCTGAATATCCTGAGACAGCTGGCCATGCACTGACATGTCCACTTGGGCACCTCTCATTGTCTCCACTGTCCTCTCCAATCGGGCTTTTCTTCCTGTCCTTTCTGTTGGGATCATTCTTACCAAGGATGCTAGCAGCCTACGTCTTCTAGAGGTAAAGTATATTTTCTTGCCTCTGACCTTGGGTTTGGCCACCTGACTTGTTCTGAGCCACGTACTAGATGAGCGAGTAACATGCTCCCTGTTCCAAGCCTAGGTGCTGGGAAACAGTCTGTGTTCCTGCCTGCCTACCTGTGCTTTTGATCACGAGAAGAAAATGTGTCCCGGCTGGGCTGCTGGTGCGAGGAGAATGGAACATGCTCAAAGAGCAGACTCAGATCCAGCTGTAGCTTGGAGCTGCCCAGCCAAGGTCAGCCACACTAGCTGACCCTCAGCTGACCCACAGATGGACACATAAAGTATTGACTGCTATCCCATTGAGAGTTTCATGGTTGTTTGCTACCCTGCATTAGCACGGCCTATGCATCCTCCTTTTCCAAATTCTTCCTTTCCTCTGGTTGACACTACAATCTTTTGGTTTATTTCAATCTTTCAAGTGGCTATTTCTCAGATTCCTTGGTGATTTCTTCTACCAGGTCTCTAAAAGTTGGACTGACCTTAGCCTCAGTCCTCTGCTACTTTCTATCTTTATCCTCTCCCTAAGTGAAATCATCCAGGTCCGCTCCTTTGAATGCCATCTGCATACTGGTTCTCAGATTGACTTCTGAAGGTGATTTGCCCTGAATTCTACACACTGATGCTGAGCTGCCCACCTATGTCAAATAGGTATTAACATGGTGCTGATAGAACTACTGGTCTACCTCCTGCTCCTGGCATGGGCACTTATCTACCCAGTCAACCTAAAAACCTAGGTGCTGTCCTCCATTCTCTCTTCTCAAAGGTCACATGCTCAAAGTTTCATTTATACCACCTTCAAAATTGGCCCAGAAACCAGGATCTCTCTCTTGTTAACTACACCTTGGACAGCTGTTTTTATCCTCTTGCCAGCATTTCTGTAATAGCATCCTGACCGTTTTCCTCAGCTTTTAGTCCATGCTCTCTGCACGATAGCTAGAGGGATCTTTCGAAAGGTAACAATCCCTTCGCTCTCCCACTGCAATCAAATAAAAAACCCACTCTTCACCTTGGTCCGGAAGCGCTCAGATCCTTTGATCCCACCACATCCCTGAAGCATCACTGTTTTCCTTGTTCTAGTCACAGTGGCCTCCGTGGCATCTCCTGAATGTAAAGAGCACGCTCCTGCCTCAGGCTTTTTGCCCTCATATTCTTCTGCTTGGAGCGTGTGTCCCCAGATCTTCACATGTTGCCTCTTCCGGCTCATAAGGTCCCCAGTGTCGTCACCTCCTCAAGGAGGTCTTCCCCTGCTAAATAAAGCAGCATTTGTCAACACCTTCCTTTCCATCACTTTCGTCCAGTTTAGCCTTCTTAGGGTTCTTACCAACATGACACTATTTTACTTTGGTTCCACACTTTGGCTCCTCACTTACAGGGAATCTCCTGAGCTGGGTGTGTGGCTCAGGGATAGAGCACTTTTCTAGCAAGTGCAAGGCCTGGGGTTCCACCTCCAGTACACAAAAATGAATAAATCAGATCCTTTAGGGATCTGTCTTGGTCTCTGAGTAATTCAAGAATGTAGAATATGCCTTGCACACAGTGTGCTCTCAGTCAACCAGCTTGACTGACCAGTACCATGGCTGGAGACTGAGAAGCTGGGAATGAGGGTCCCTGACACCAACTGCAGGACCAGAGATGGGAAGCTGGAGGACTCAGACACATTCTAGAGACCGGGGAGGTATGGGAGATAATGCATAGGATGGGGGTGGGGGAATTCCTCCTGGAGAGCACTTGAACGCAGTCACCCCAAGTCGTCTGTGTTAGGAGGTGCTGCTGAGGACTAGATAGGTTTTAGGATGATTAACTTGGTCGAAGGGTATGCATTTCTGTGTCTTTAACTAAGTGCTCTCCCATGAGCCCTGGGTTTTAGAAGACAAAGACATTTAGAAGAGTCTTGGAGCTCAGGGGAGCCCGAGATTGGTCCCCTTGGATTTCGGATGCAAGAAAACCCCGTTACCCAGCCTTTTAGGGACAAATATCAAGCTCCTAGTTTTGGAAGGTCTCCCTTGATAATTAAGAACTTGCTAAGCGCACAGCTGGCGCTCCTGCATACGTGTTAACAAGCTGGTGCACAGGGCAGTGGAGCTCCCTTACACACACACACACACAGACACACACACACACAGACACACACACACACACACACACACACACACACACACACACACACACGGACGACTAATTTGCTTTTATCCTGAGCACAGGCTTCTCCAGACCCCCACCCCGCGGATCCATCCGGACCCAGCTACTTGCCTTCCCAGCCCCCTCCACCCAACTCCATTGTCAGGGCGGAACAAAAGGCCCAAGGCATCCTGGGTTAAAGGATTTTTAACTCTGCCAATCCCAGGAGGCTCCAACACCAGGCAGCTTCCTGCTGGAGGAAAGTGACTGAAACCTCCAGGCAGCAAGCAATTTTTTTTCTTTTTCTGGTCTGCAAAGCCGCCAGCCAGACAGCCCCTTCAGGACCCAGCCTGGAGCCACCCGAGCGTCGGGACCCTGAGGTCGCCTCCCCCGCAGCTCCTAAGGGTGGCGGTCGGCTCTCGCGGCCCACCCCTTCCATCCCCCGCGGTGGCCCCCGCACCCCCAGGACAGCCGCCCGCTCTGGCCCGTTGCGCGCTCCGGGCTGCGGTCCAAGTGGTGAGCGGGTCTGGGCCCCAGTTCCCGAGCTCCGCGGTGCAAACCCCCTTTCTGCCCACCCTGCCACTAAAGTTCAACATCCATTCCCCACGCCATCCCAAGCTGTTCACGTAGAGGAGATACCAGATAAATGAGAAACATACTTAGGAACGCTGTTAATAGCAAACGCTGGCATTTCAACAACACACAAATGCCCTGGCGGGCCGCTAGCCCAGGTGGCCCCGCAGCGCCCTCTGGTGGCCGATCGGGCCCCACCGAGCGTTCCGCTTCCCCCACTCCAAGTCCCAGAGTGCGCCCCCCAACCCTGCCTGCTCCTGGGCCGAGAAACAGTGGGGCAGCTTGAGTGGAAGGGAATGCGAGGTGCCCGACACCAAATCCTGAGAAATGCTAAGAGCCCAGGGAAGGGGCCACCGTGAAAGGAAAGTCCTTGATCCGTTTTCAGTGCATGCACGACGTTCTACCAATTCACCTTTTTGTTCCTTTTAAAATTCAAACGCCTCAAGGAGGGACGTTTAAGGGTAGCCTTCAAAACAAGGGTAGGCGGCTGAGCACGTCAAAAAATCAGCACTATCGGGTACCAAGGATTGTGGCTGGCAGATGCTGAGGAAGACGGATCCCTTGAGCTCAGGAGTTTGAGATCAGCCTGAGCCAACATGGTGAAATGAGGTGTCCGACGTAATAAAGAAAGAAAAACAGTAGGTCTCTTGGCTTGGGGTATAGCTCAGGGGTGGCAGGTTGTTCCTCACAGCTGCAGATAAATAAATAATCACCAATGTTACCACCAGAAAGACATGATACCATAATCTGTATATAGTATATGGCAATGACTTTTTGTTGGGGAGGGTGTTGTTTGTTTGTTTTTGAGACAGGGTCTCATTATGTAGTCCAGACTGGCCTTGACCTCACAGCAATCCTCCTGCCTCAGCCTACCTTACCAAGCGCTGGAATGACAGGCATGTGCCGTTCCACCTGGCTAGATTTTCATTTAACTCTTGAGGTTTAAGCGATCGTCCTACCTTAGCCGCCCCTGTAGCTGGGACTACACACATGCCACCACACCTGGATGGCATTTAATAAGGATGACATTTAATAAGTAATATTTAATCTTCTTATGTCCATTGTTGGCTGTCTAAGCATTCCTTTGTTCTCTGAACAGCGGTGTTATTTTAGGAAGCACCACCTCCAGTGGTCATAGCCTCCTTTTCAATTGGCCCCCAATTTTTTTCTTCCTGCTCCACGCTAAGCTTTTCTGCAAACTTTCCGCTTCTTAGCCTAGGTCACTGGAGTTTAGACTTGCAGTATTCTAGACCCCTGTCTGGTCACTGCAGTAGCTCCTTGGTGTGTCTGGACCTCGTCTGTGGCACACAGGATCCCAGGAGTTTCAAGAGAGAGCAAGCCTTTGCTCCAGCGCCACTGGGCCTGTCAGGAGGCGGCCACCTCCTGATGGCTGGGGAACTTCGTCCTCAGGTGAGCTTCCAGTGCGTCTGTGTATCTGGACTCTCTCTCCTTTGGCCACCCCTCTGTCTGACAGATGCTGGCAGAGGTGGGGACGCTGGACTTCTGAGGGGCCCCTCTTTTCCCTGCCTGCAGGTTCATGTTTGCCCATACTGTTCAGGGGGAATTTCTCCAGTCTTCTCCTTGGGGCGTTTTCTGCTGTTAGTTATCTGTTGCCACACAGCAAGCCACTCGGTGGGATAAACTCAGTGGCCTCAAACAGTCAACATGTATTTGCTCGTGGCTCCGTGGGGCAGCTGGGCAACCAGTTCTTCTGGCCTGGCTCTGCCTCCTGCTCACTGGATGGGTAAAGATGGCATCTCTCACACATCTGGTGGCTGGCTGGCTGTCAGCTGGGGTGAAAGGGTGACTGGGCCACGTGGGTCCCATCAGCAGGCTGGCCTCACCTGGGCTTCTTCTGATGACAATAGGGTCCAAGGATAGAAAGAACAGAAGTCCCCAGTTTGGGATGGGCAAACCCTCCCTCCCACCACACTCTCTGGATCACAGCAAGTCATAGCCTGGACCCAGCACAAGGGCAGGGAACAGACTCTGTGCCCGTTGGGAGAGCTGCAGATAATGCAGCCATTTGCCACCTCCCAAGCTCACTCTCCTCTTCCTCGGGGCTCATTCCAATACAGGAAACACGCTTAAAAATACTGCATCCTCTCAGAAGGACCAAGCGTGCAGCTTACCTTGGTTCTTAAGCACACACTTCCCCAGTCAAAGCACCTGAGGGCCAGTGCTGGCTCCCAGTGTATCAGGTACGAACGAGGCTGTAGGAAAGTTATTGTCCTGTTTTATGCCTCCATTTCCCGATCTGTAAAAATGGGAGTTGTCGTGCACTTTAAATAAGTTACTCATCTAAATGCTCAGGCAACATCTGACGCGTAGTGAGAGGGTGACTGGCTGTCCACTGTGCCTGCTCAGGCCACCACCCCACCTCCCACAGCTGCCCCCAAGCTCCCCCCCCCCCGCCACTGCTGTTTGTGGCCAACATCCCCAGCGCCCCTTGGAGATGCTGGTGAAGTATGTGCACCGGTTCCTTCATGGAAGCCAGTCTGTTCACAGCTGGGACAGGTTGGCGGTCACAGAAATAGCTCTGAAGTCAGACAGACCTGAAGTTTGCCTCCAGTTCTTCCTCTGGAGTTCAGACAAGCTTATTAATTTCTGAGCTTCAGTTTCCTTCTCTGTAAAAATGGGAGCTAGCAGAGGCTCCCGCTGAACTTAGTGAGCATAACAGAAAAACTTAAAAGCCTGTGCTTAACAAGCGCTGCACTCCTGGGATGCGCCGTTCTACCCGGAAAGGTCCCTCCCGTGGATAAGTGAGATCTCCGAGGATCAACAGCTTTCCTGTCCTAAGTCACTAACCCTAACCCTGCCAGCCCAGCTCTCCATCATGGATGGGGGCCTAGGGACAAGGTAAACGCTCCAGCAGCCACCGAACATCTGTCCCCGCTCCCACGTTTCCTGAAGCCGGTACCTTTGTTTATTTTCAACCCAATATCTCTAATATTTAATCCAGGGTTTACATGGTAAATGCACCATAAATGCTTGATGAAAGACAGCGTTTCAGGAGGGTCTCGTTCTAATACAGACTGAGATTGTTTTGTTGAGACAGAGTTTCACTATGTAGTTCAGGCTGGCCTTGAACTCACTTTATAGCCCAGGCTGGCCTCAAACACACAGCAATCCTCCTGCCTCAGCCTTCCAAATCCTGGGATCACAGGTGTGCGCCACCACACTCAGCTAGATTAAGCAGTCTTAATCGGAAATCTAAAATTCAAAATACTCAGAATTTGAATTTTACAAATTTTATTTATTTATTTATTTGTTAGTTTGAGACAGGGCTTGGCTGACCTTGAAACCCTGCATTCAAGTGATCCTTATACTTCAGCTGCCCAAAAAGCTAGGACTTACCTGATGCTCAAAAACTTAGGGATGTTCACCTAGTAAAGTCTATGAAAATATTCCAAGCCTTTTGGATAAGCAATCCTTAGGGTTGTTTTTCCTTGAGTTAAATCACTTCTTTTGGATGATTTTCCAGCCGAGCCCATCCTTGGGGTGGATAGAGGGTACCGATGGCTCAACCTTGCCGCTCTTTTGGTCACTGGGAAACCGTGGCCCACACACAGGGACGCAGAGAGCCGAGGTCGCCGGCAGGGGGAGCACCTGAGCGTGCGTCGCCGGGCTGTGGAGATCAGTGCAGCCCTCATCCATACACAGGCAGTATTTCCACTCCTCCCTCCCAGGATCGCATCTTCCGCGGCCAGGGAGTAAAGAGCCCCGGCTTCCGCTGGCGGTTCCCATGCAGTTTGGAGCACAGAAGGCGAATGCAAAGGGGCAGGACCAGCTGGGTTCTGTTCCCCAGTGTGCGCCTGCGCGTGCCTAGACCACACCTGGGGAAGGGCCACTTGTCAGCGCTGGATGCTTTCAGCCATTCGTGAAGCGAGCCCGTGTGCAGGGTGTGTTGGCCTGCGGAGTACAGGTGCGTGTGAAGCCCAAGACAGGTGCACGATGAGGACTGCAGGCCGCAGGGCAGATGGGGGCCAGCTCGGGAGTCCTGGGAGAGGAATCCGAGGGGAGGCCTGGTGTAGCTGGCCAGCAGGGTGCAAGGGCCCAGCTGTGATAACGGGAAGAAGACACCATCTGTCCATCTGTCTGTCTGCAAAGCCAGGAGGCCGCAGTGCAGGCCAGCAGCGGAAGCCAAGCTCCTTCATGCAGGAGGCTGAGTTCATAACCTGCCTTTCCTCCTGCTGCCCCTTGGGCTGGGCTATGTAGAGGACCAACGGGTGCCTGTCCACAAACTAAAACTAGCCCGCGCTTATGTTAAAGGGCAGCGGGTAAGTGGGGGACTGCAGCTGAATCACCACCTTACAGGAGATGTGGAAACCCTGGGGTGCAAATTTAGGCCTCAGGATGGGTCTGACTTCCAAGGGCCCTAAAATCACTTAGTAACACATAGATTGTAATGCTATCAGACAACACGAGCCCCTCAGGCAAACAGTCCCAGGTGATTTGGGCTACCTAGGGGATGGGCTTAGGAGAGTTTTTGTTTTTTGACCTAGAATTGAACTCAGAACTTTGTGCTTGCCAGGTTGGCACTTATGCCACTGAGTGCACTTCAGAGCAATCTGGCCCTCGGCAAAGCTGCCTTCCTTCCACAAAAAAAAGCGCTTTGACTCATCCAAAAATAACACTGACTGCCATTTATACTCTAGTTGGTCAGCGGTGTACAAGGTCACAACCATTTTTATATTGTTTGTCTTTTCCACGCTTGTTCTCTCACACATGTACATAGCTATGCGCTTTGAGAAAAGACTCCCAGAGCACACAGGAGGCTCCACCCACCTTTTATTAAGCTAGAGAATCAAAAACAGCAGAAAAGTATGACAACCTGCCTCTCTCTGTCTCTCTCTGTTTTGATAGAGGGTCTCGCTATATAGTTCAGGCTGGCCTTGAACTCACTGTGTAGCCCAGGCTGGCCTCAAACCCTGGGCAATCTCCCCACCTCATCCTCCTGAGTGCTGGGGTTACAAGCATGAGGCAGCAGGCAAAATAAACCAAAAGTGTAATGTTAACGTGTAGCAGGTTTGTTACAGTAAGAAGCAAATGTTTTTAAATTCAGGGCTTTATTTCTTAATTAAAAAAAAAATTTGGTGGTACTGGGGATTGGACCCAGGGCCTTCGCAGTGAGCTACATTCCAAACCCTTTTTAGTTTTATTTTTGAGACAGGGGCTTGCTAAGCCACTAAGCTGCCCAGGCCAGACTTACTTTTCATCCTCCTGCCTCAGCCTCCCAGAGTTCTGGGATTACAGACGTTTCCCACCATGCCCAGCTTTGAGTTTTAATTTCTTGACTGGTAAACATTGAAGGTACAACCCACATAAATAAAACCCTTCTTGAAGTCTTCAGTAACGTTTAAGAGCATAAACGGTTCCTAAGTTCTGGAGGTATAAGAACCTTGCCTCCCTCCCCCTCGCCCTGAACATCTGTCTGTGCTAAAGAAATCTAGGACTACTTTATATGCTTTAATTTTGTAACTTGAACAACTATTTCTAAGATAACAATATGTAATCTATTAACTAGTGATTTCCTATTCTTTATTTTTTCTGAAATTCTGTATAACTTGTACCCTTTTTCTGTTTTTCTTTCTTTTTCTCCTTAAATAAAAAAGAAAAGAAAAGAAAAGAAAAAGAAAAAGAAATCTAGGACTTGGAGACAGTTGGAGACCCGAAGGGACTAAGCACAGTACTGCCTCAAGGAACTTCTGAGTTTGGAAGACATGGGGACAGGTCAACAGCAGACTGTGAGACACCGCAACTGCCAAGTCACAGGCTCAAGGGCTACCCTCAAGGGTATTCATTCATTGAATCAGCCCTACAGGTCTCTCCTAGCGACTCCAGGGCCCCGCGCGCCCCCTAGTGGCGGCTCACGCCTGCGCAGTCTTCGTCGCCCAGACCTGCTGCACAAGAGACTACTAACACAACCCGGGAGCCCAACGCTGGGTCCCGTCCTGGGCGACCTTCTCTGCCTGTCCCTCTGCGCACGCTCCTCTCTTGATAACTAATTCCAGCCCTGTTCCTGCTCTTCTTGGAGACTGAGCATCTCTCCCCTGACCAACCACCCTGGCAGGTGATTCAGAGATTGTATCACAATAGAAATAGTAAAGTGGTCCGCTTTGCAGGAGGGGATACATTCCAGGATCCTGGGGATGAAACTGTGAATAGCACCTGATGCAACCTCTTACACACTCCCATCATAAAGCTTAACTTACAAATTAGGCACAGGAGAGAGACCACAATCAATCATAAAATAGAACTGTAACAACGCACCATCATAAATTATGTGCATACCGCGTCCCTTTCTTCTGAGTCAAGACAAATACAGTTATTCATACTTTTTGTCACAGTTGTCTGATGGTGGCATTCACCTGGGAAAGGGAAGCTAAGGACATGAGCATCGTCTGTGATGCACGAGGGACCCAAGTCAGGTTGGCACCACCTCAAGTCTTGCTCCTTTTGGATGAGCCCTGTACCAGCTGACCCAGTGTGCAAAGAGCCCTGAGCTTCAGCAACCGAGTAATCAAGTATCTACACTGTGGTCAAGTCCCTTGGGGAGAGGGAAACGAGTCCCTACCCTGTGAAACTTGCTGACTTGTGCTGGATTCTGTGGTCACCTGAAGTGCCTCAGCACCCTAAGGTGGGGATCCATCCACCACCCCAAAACCCCCGTGGGACTTTCTTCCAGAGATTTAGGACACTCCTGTTTTAAACAGGATTCAAGTGGTCGCCTATAAAATCCCAGAGTTCCTCAAGGTCAGTATGCAAATTAACACCTGGTGGCCTTCTCAACACAAAATAGATCAAGCCTTAAAGCTGAGAAACAAACACCAAAGTTGTCTTTTAATTCAACCCTAGAAACTTTCAGTGAAATATCCTCAAGCTGAACACCACTGGAAGAGAGCGGGAAGTTGGGGGACAATGAAATCTCCCTGAAAGAGCAGTCTGTGTTTCTCCTGCAGTTGTGACCCAGAGTCCATTAACAGGAACCTGCCTGGCCCGTGAGCAAACTCTGCCATCTTAGCCCTGTTGTTTCCATGGCAACTACCAAAGGTGGTCCCTTTTCTTTCCTACAGATGCCCCCCCCCTCCACTTTCAGGCAGGGTGGAGGACTGGATTCTGAACCAAAACTATTTGCACAGGTATTGTTTCCCTTCTTTCAAACCATGTTTTAAGAAAGCACAAACTATTTCTTTAATTTACACAGAAATGCCTTTTAAAAATAAAGCAGAAATATCAAACATGGGTTTTGTTTCATCAGTCTTTTTATACTTATGCATGCTTTCAATTTCTCTGTAATAGAGGCTGGGATCATAGACACAACATAGAGGCTGGTGGACCGCTTGCCTAGCATGCCCAAGGCCCTGGGTTCGGTCCCTAGTTCACCAACAAAAGAAACACAAAAAATAAAAGAACCTTCAGAGCATACTTTTCTTTCAATATTTCTGAAGAAAATCTGATCTTGCACAGAATGAGGAAAGGGGATGAAATAAATACCATTTTCTATCCACATAAATCATAGATTATAAGCCCCAATCCTTATTTGGGGCTGAGATGAGATTGCACAGCCTAAACTTTAATTTTAATGCACTTAATAATAATAAAACTTAAGGTATAGCAAAATATATAGATTCAGGGGAAATAAAAGAAATCCATTCCTATTCTTGCCCTTTGCATCACTCTGGCAACTCCCTGACCGCAGCCTTCCAAGAACTTCCACATGAGACACACAGCAAGTTTGAAAAGCAGGTGCGGAGCTGGGGATTTAGCTCAGTGGCATAAGCACCTGCCTGGCAAGTGCAAGGTCATGAGTTTGATCCCTGGTACCAAAAAAAAAAAAAAAAAAGAGAGAGAGAGAATTTAGAAAAAAAAAAAAAAAAAAAGGAAAGAAAAGCAGTTGCTTCTGGCCCAGGACCTGATTTTGTATGATCCGCAAGTTAAGAATGGTTTTACCTTTTCTTCCCTTCGGTGTTGGAGATGGACCTTGCACATGCTCAGTAAGCCTGCTACCATAGAGCTCCATTTCCTAGCCCCTCACTGTCTGGTTCTTTGTGCTTTGCAGGACTCAAGACTGAAACCCTGGTGATCTACCACTGGGCTATACCTCCAGTCCTTTCTTCTTTTTTAAAAAAAAAAAATCTTGGGTCTTTCTAAATCACCCAGGCTGTCCTCAAACTTTTGATTGTCCTGCCTCAGCTTCTTGGGTACTGGTGATTACAGGCATGCTCCACCACACCCAGCAGGGTTTTTACACTTTTTAAGAGTTAAACAATGAGTAAATACACAAAGAAGATGTGACAGAGAAGCTGAGTGGGCCAGCTGGCTGGGCCCGCGCTGCGCTGCAGGCTGGCGGGCTGGCGGGAGTCCTATTAAAGGTAGCAGCTGACAAGAGGCCCAGCCGAAAAGTTGCCATGCCGACCGGGAATTCAGTTCTTAAAATAGTAGACTGTGCTCAGGCATTTTCAGGGTGGGTGGGTTTCCAGAGGGGGCTTGGGGGTGGGGGAGTCGGCCCCAACTGGTGAGCTGTTCTGTCACGGCTCTGACAGTACCAGGTGGGGAGGGGACGACTTGGAAAAGCAGGTCTGAGAGAGATGCTTTCCATTTGAAGAGCAGGGACGGGTCAGCTTGATGATGTGGTTTTGCAGTTTGACCAGAGGAAATCCCCCACCCCATCGCTTCCCTGCCTGCTGTCTGAAGAGGACTGAAGACCAGGGCTCCCACTGAGGCTGCAGGGCTGCTGCGGACCGTCTGTGGCCCCCTTCCACATGAGCGGTGTCCCCCAGAGGCCTGGGGCGGTGGTCAGCAGCAGCAGCATCAGAGGACCAAAATGAGAGCAATCCTTCAAAACCCACCTCTCATCTGTGTAGACCAAAGTATCAATAATCATCCTTCGGGAATCTCCTGTCAGCCCTCCACGGACTCCTCAGTGCCTATGAGGTGAGCTAAGCCCACCAATTATTTATACACACAAAATGTACTACATTTACTACACTTTAACTGTATGGCTTAGTGGCATTAAATTTATCACCATAGTCACCATCATCATCCTCTAGAATGTTTGAATCATTTTATGCTTGGGCCTCCATCCAGCCCTGGCAACCACATTCTGCTTTCCATTTCTATGAATCTGACTAATCTTGGGAGCTTGTAAAACTGAATCATGCAGTTTATCTTTCTATTTCTGCTTTATTTCATTTATTATAATATCTTCAAGGGGCCACACGCTCTTGTGGAAAGCAAGCCCTGAGCCAGGTTTCCCGTCTTCGCGTCCCCCCTTCACCCCCCAACCCGGGCACAGCTTCCTGTCGGTCCCCTCCTCGGGCGCTGCGCTCTCACTGCCCACCCCACTGAGGCCGAGGCCCGGGACCTCTCTCTGGCCTCCGGTCACCATCAAGGCCAGCAGGGAACATTTTTCAAAGTTGAGCAGCATCATCCTGAGACTCTGTTTTTAATGCTAATCGTATCTTCCAGAGTGATTTCCATGGGTTTTTGTCAAAGGGAACCACGTGCCAGCGGAGGAGCCCGAGGGCGCAATGCAGGGCGCTTGGCCTGCCCTGGGCCTTGCGGTGCCGCCCTCCTGGGGCAGGGATGGGGCAGGAACGGGGCAGGGGTGCGATCTCCGCCTTGGTGGCCTCAGGTCTCAGAGGTGCGCGGCGAGGGCTGAAGGGAGCTGGCTCTGGCGGAGCGCACTGGGCACCGCGCGGGGAGCACCGTCCTCTCCCCTCCGCCTGCCCCGGGGAGCCGGACCTCCCCCAGCTGTGTCCGCTGTGGCCTCGCCAGTCCCTGCATGGTGAGAGCTGCCCAGGCAGGAACCCAGGAAACCCGGAGTGTCCGCCAGACACGCAGGGATTCACGCGGCGCAACCTGAAGGGGGCGCCGCCGCGTGGGCGAGGCTCGGAGTGACCGCATCTGCTGTCCACCAAGGGGCCCCAAGCCCGGGCAAAGGACCCCGGAAGGGGGATCTGTTTGGGGCTGGAGAACTGGGTTGGGTGACAGGGGAGGCCCAGGGAAGGCTTCGCAGAGGCAGCAGCACTGGATTCGAGGCGCAAGAGACCGGTGCGGAAATGCTTGCCCTCCAAAGTGGGGCGTGGCCCACACAGAAAGTGAGTGCAAAGCCAAGAAGGTGTGCAGACCTTCCTGTCTGACTCTGGTGTTGGACTGCTTTTCTCGTCCCCCCCCCTCCCCTCCCCTTTCTCCCCTTCCCTTCCTCCTCTTCTTCACTAGGGCCTTCGCACTAAGCTCCATGCCCAGCCTTTTGAATATTTTAAAATTCTGAGACAGGGTCTCACCAAATTGTTGAGTTCCCTAGGCTGGATCTGAATTTGCAATCTTCCTGTAACCCCCTTCCTAGAAGGCTGAGGCAGTAAGGATGTGCCACCATGCCTCTCATGGACTGTCTCTGAGCTACTTTTCTGGTTGCTAAGACAAGATACCCAACACTCAAAGTTAAAAGAGGAAAGGTTCATCTAGCTCACAGTGTGTAGAAGTTCCAGCCTATAACCAGCTGGCTCAGAGGCCGAGTGGCACAGCAGAGGAGCAACAGTTTGTGGCGGGCAGAAAGCCGCAAAAGCATCCAAGCAACAAGCAACGACAAGCCCCTGACCCTCTCTCTGTGCCTTGTGTTTTAGCTAGGCTACCCGCCTTTAGGGTGAATAGCATCACATCCTTGATCCTAGCATCCCACACCCCAGGTCCAGCCACCTCTGAAAAGCCGCACCTACCACAGACAGCATGAGGCTTTGGGGGACATCTAGACACAAGCTATAACAGGCTGTTTTCTTGTAGATGACAGTTACACGCTCATGAGGGTTTTAGATCAGGACATGACATGATTCTCTGAGTTGAGCTGGGTGTGGTGGCACACACCTGTAATCCCAGCACTCAGGAGACCACACAGTAGAATCACCATAAATTTGAGCCTAACCTGGGCTACATGTAGAGCTCAAACAAGTTTGAGTTACACAGTCACACCTTGTCTCCCCCCCCAAAAAAAATTTCTTTGCACTAATTCCTCTTTTTCCCTGCCTGGGAAGAGCAGGGTCGCAGGTGGGGTGAACATCTTTAAGATGTTTCCATCTTTTAATCAGCTTCCCATGCTGCCGACCTCTGGCTCCCTGGAGTCCAAGAGGGAAGAAATGAGTGAATTGAAAATGAGAACACACTCATGAAGGAGTAACAAGCAGCTGGAGGCACGACACTCATCTGGAGATGGAACAGATCAATGCGATAAAACCCTAAATAAACATCATGCATGGCACTAATTGTGTTTTAAAGGCTGCCACCAGAGAACAGATAAAACGATGCCGTATTTCATTAGTGACTCCCGTAATTCTATGGTATTTGCCAGCAAGCTCTATTAGAGCACTCTGTAATTAAAGACCAGTTCTGGGTCCTGTAATTTAGAGCATTATCAAAATATGGCAAGTGACTGGAGGTAAGCAAATGGAAATAAGCCCTGCTTTCACGGGGTCCTCATAGAGCACACGGGATGTAATTTTTAAAAGCTTAGCCTTTGTACCACCATGGCCATCGAGGTCGGTTCCCCTCAGTGCCTTCCATTTGGGCAGGTGACATTTTAATTACCTCAGAGGACTGTAGATGGGGAATAAATCCATTTTTTAAAGTGATTTTTAAAAAATGTAATCTAATTCTCAGAACATAAAATGACCGATCACTGTAAAGTGGGATAGGTAACTCAGTGGTTTTGGGGACAGTCAAAATATTGCATACCTATCATTAATATTAGATATTATCTAATTTTAGAATATTTGTATCACCCCACAAAGAAACCGTACCTATTAGCAGAGTCTAAGCCCATTCATGGTGTTATAACAAAACAACTTAGGGTAATTTATGAATAAAAATGTATTTTCTATAATCCTGAGAGAGCTAAGATCAAGGTGCCAGCAGATCTACTGTCTGAAGAAGACTGTGTCTCTGCTTCCAAAATGGTGTCTCACATGGGAAAGGCAAATGGAACCTGGGTGCTACTGTACACCTCCTTCTCTCCTCTGCAATTCTGGGGATTGGACCCAGGGGCTATGAGCCATCTCTTCAGTCCTGTTAATTTTATTTTGAGGCAGAGTCTTACTGATTTGCCACACTGGCCTCAGACTTGCAGTCCTCCTGTCTCAGCCTCTGGAGTAACTGGGATCACAGGCAAACATCACAACCCTCAGCCCCTCGGCCATTTAATTTATCTTAAGTACACGATCCCATTCATGAGGAAGGCACTGTTATAATCTAAACATACCCCAAAGGTCCCACCCCTTATTACTGTCCAACTGGGTATTAGATTCCAACGTAAGGATTTCAGAAGGACACATACATTCAGACCACAGCAAGCAGTCAGCCCCGTTTTCACCCTGGCGATCCTGGGTCACCTTCAGTCTTTGTAGCTTTGGCTGCTCTGCGCATCTCATACCAATGGAATGTGGTTCTGCTCTATGTCTTCTGAGGTCTTGCAGGTTGTTCCATGTAGCAGCATGCACCGTATTTCATTCCTTCCTGCTGCAAACTGTGGCATGGAAACACCTCTTTGTGCGTATCTGGTAATCTGAGGATGAGCATTTGGTTGTTTCCACCTTTTAGCTATGGTAAGCAATACTGCCATGAACATTCACATCGGAGAGTGAGGACGCAGGGTTTCTGTCATCTCAGGCAGGTGTCTAGGAGTGGAATTACTGGGCCACTTGACAACTCTCTGTGAATCCCTGGAGGAGCTGCCAAGCTGGTTTTCACAGCCGTTTTCTTACAGTCCCTGGAACAGTGAATAGGGGCTCAACATTTCCTATGTCCCCCAAGGACACAGAGCAGAGAGAGGAGGGCGGGAGATGGTTGTTTCTCGTGGACCAACAGAAAACCATCAAGATAGCCATTGTGGGGACATCTCAATCCTGTCCAGCATGGCTGATGTGACACGCGTAAGCTCTGCATATAGGAAATAGGAGATAAACCCCAGATTCCTGTTATTCTACATGGCAGAGTTTTGGCAGCTACTGAAACGCTCCAATCTGGGAGGATCTCCGAGGAACACCTAAGGAACCTGTAAGTGTAAGAGTCAGACTTCCCACCTGCCTCCCAGGTGATCTACATCTCTGGAGACAAGGGCACCCCTTGGTTTTGCCCATTCTCCTTATAACAGGGACCTTGTTAGGCTGCAGGTGAGGAGGGGCAGGGGTCTTCTTTCACCAGCAGTGGGATTGATGAAGCCTTACAGTTTTTAGCATTACACAACCCTGGCATTCTACTGATAGGAGATGGTCGTCGAGCCATAACGGGGCTCCAGGCTGTAAGACGATGTTTCCAGACAGCGGCAGCACCATCCACAGCCCTGCAGAAGTTCCCGTGGGGATAGGCGAGGGTCATTTTAATTAGCATGCAACACATCTGCTTACTGTGTCGGTCAAACAAACACTCTCCACAAAATAAGTTTGTCTCTCACACTGTGCCATAAATTCCTGGATACCATGACTTACAGCACTCTTCTGGCCCTTGTGGTGCCTGGCATTGTGACTGGCACACATGGCACACAACGGGTATCTGCCCACTTATTGCTACCTTTCAACGTGTCTGAGCACCCTTGTTTCATGCTAGCTAGAGAGCAGAACAGGAAACCAGTGGGCCTTTGGTCTGCCAGGATCTTGCTGTTTACAGGGGTGATGTAGGCGAAGTTTCTGGGGCATGTCATACCACTGGAGATGGAGTGGGGGTGGAGGATCACAACCCCTGGGGGGCCAGGCAGGCGTATGAGTAAGTGGAGTGGTCTCCAACAGGGGCAGGGAGAGGACAAGAGGCACAGTGGCCACTCCAGCAGATCAGGACACAACTGTGCTTCTTGGAAGGTCCCAGCTGCTCTGAATTGCCTTGCAAGCATCCAAACCTCTGTTGCCAGATTGTCTGCTTCTCCAAAAAGAGTATGAAATCTGGATTTTCGTGTGAAATGTCCAAGCAAACGTGTGTGGACTGGCTCCGTCGGCAGGTGGCCGTGGGGCCCCATGCAGGCCGGGGCTCTCTCCCTGTGCTCCTTGCAGAAGAGGGGCTGCCACTCATCGGGAGCCGCACTCTGCTGCCTTAGAAATTAATTAGTCAGGGATTTGGAGAAGCTTTACACAAATAACTTAGCTTTATTAAAATACTCTTTTGGCCCAAAGAAGAAATAGTTTTAAAAATCCCAAACCTACGGGCTTAATCTGCTAAAATGCACAACAAATAAAATTAACACTCTGAAAAGAGCTTCTTCCTGTTCCAGAGGAGCCCCTGTGGCCTCTCTAATCTGATTACAGAGACTGGGCCTTCTCTGCCAGGGATAAGACAACAAGCCACACACTTAACAAACCCAGGCATTAACCCCGATTTGGATTTCGTTTTCCAAGCAATAATGTCGTTGGTTGGGGACCTGCTGCCAGCTTTTTGAGCTGTCCTCACTGACAGCATGTGGGCTTGTCTTTGGAGCCTCTTGCCTTGGTGCTGCTGGGTCACAAGGCCCAGAGGCTGGCTGTCAGTGGTGCTGGAGAAATTCTGAAAGTCCACACACGACTCAGACATAGGAATACCTTCTCTCCGTGTCCCAGTCCAGGGACAGCCCAAGGAGTGATGCTCTATTATAAGGGCTGTCTGACAGTACATTTATCATTTTTATCATTAAGAACTCCCATCTACCTGTATCAGCTACTGTTTTTCATTGTCGTTTGTTTGTTCTTTGGCAGGGTCTTACCAAGTGGCAAAGTTTGTCAGGTTGGGCTAGAACTTTGGATCCTGCCTCAGCCTCGAAGAGTACTGGGATTACAGGTGTGTGCCACCACACCCGGGTCACATCTACCTTTCAGAGTGTCGCCTGAAACTCTTAAAATGCTGAGCACTTCTTGGAAACAGGTCAGTTCTGCGTCTCAAGGCCTAATGGAGAATGGGGCTGTCCAGCCGCCCTTCTGCACTGCTGTCAGTTCCTGCCACAATGCAGAGAGGTTGGAGACTTTTGTGCAGGCGAGCACACACGACTCTCACACTTCTGGTGATGGCCTTGGTGACCTATTCACTGGGTGCAGTGTGAAGGAAGTCCAGGGTTGTGGACCAGCTAGGGATTTATTGTGGCACAGTTGTTGGATAGGTGAGGGAGAGGAGGGCTCGTGTGACCTGATTTTCTGAGTAGCCACTATGAGCCATCGGTTGTGTTCCCATAAGATCCCATAACTTTCTAGAAGACCAACAAAACTTCGGAACGGAACTGTCAGGTCCTGGAACAATTCCCGGGTTTCTAGGCAGTGGGCAATGGTAAAGGGCACAGATGTTGGAGTCAGTTCTACCTTGGCTCAAGTTTTGGTCCATTAGCTGTATGATTTGGGGAAATCTATTTACTCTTTCTGGGCTTCAGTTTCCTTACCTATAAAATAGGCATAGAAGCACCTATTTCATAGGCTAGAGGGCTAAGTCATGGAAAAAGCTTAACATAATATTGAGCCAGCTGTGAAATGGCCACATGTAGGTTTTTTATGAGGGTGTCAGTTATCTTATTTTTAAAAATGAAAGTAGATATCATAATTTGAAAACTGCACCCAATGGACACATTTTCACTTGAACAGGATAGGTGGGATTTGGATAGGTTGGGTGTATTGGGTAAGGCTTTTGAGCTTATCCAGTACATTGTGCTTATGCATATGTGTGCATATGTGTGTGTGCGTGTGTGTATGTATGTCCGTATTTCGCACTGCCTGGGGATCTATCTCCAGGGCTCCCACATGCTAGGCAAGTGCTCTATCACTGAGCTACATCCACATCTCATGCTTTATAGTCTTACTAATTGAACTCATAGAACAAAGATATTCTTTTCAGATCCTATTCGGGATGGACATGACACAGAAGGAGAAATGCTCAGCATCTGGTTTTTAGCTCTTGTGCTCGTAGGCAAGGCAGACGCAGAAGGCCTTGGAGAAGCTGCCCAGCTCACACTCCCACCCCGAGTCCTGACATCCACACTCTCCACGGAGGACCTCGCCTCCAGCTTCTCTGAAAACAGAAGCTGTGAGACAGAAATAAATGGCTTCAGTTTACTGCTCCCAAACCTCGGGTCTCCGCAGCCAGCTCCGCACTTGCACCCCCTTTATCTACACAACGTCCTTCCTGTCACCGAGTCCAGGCCTTCCCCCTGGGGGCAGTGTGGCTCACAGTGCCCTTACCCTGCCGACCCAGGACCCTCATGGCGGGCGCCATGCTAGGCACTCTGTTTCAATCCGTCCTTCCTTTCCAGCTTTTTCCAACTGACATTAGCACAGGCTCAAAATTCAGAAAAACAAACAAAATAAAGACAAAAGTCAAGAACTTTCTTTCTAGCTGTGTTAATTAGGAAGTAGGTTTGGCTGCTGTAAAGACCCCAAAAACCTGAATCCATCTGTGGACCTGATAAGTACCGTCTCGTTTCTCATGTCAGCGTCCAGGCACAGCGTCCATGGCCCCACAGGGACCATCTTGGGACACAGGGACAGAGGGCTCAGCTACTTCAGTTTCTCAGCCTTGCTGTCCCTGGCTGAGGCAGCCTGGCCTGTGGAGCCTGTGACAAGTCACACTCCTGCCAGCAGAATGGGAAAGGGTGATGATCATGAGCCTCTCTGTATAGGGGTCCAACTTCTGCTCCTATCCCAGTGGGCCAGAATTTAGCAATGTGGCCATAGCTGGCCACAGGAAGGCTGGGAAGGGAACCATTATTCTGGCACCCACTTACTACAGAAAGGAGAACAGATACTGGGGTACAGCCAGTGCACACCACATCCGCTGTAAATATAGCTCCTCCACCAGTTTCTCTGTCTCGCTCTAACTTTTCACCCTTTTAATAGTAAAAGGGAAATTTTTGGTTTATGTGAGTCAAAAGAGATAATGGTAGTGCTTAAACTTAGTTTGATCCAGGCTCTGACTCAGTTTCTCTGAGATTTCCTTTGATTTTGATCATAGGCAGGAACAGAGATGACCTAAGCCCCTCCCTTCCAGGCAAGACATCCCGAGGTTCTTGCAGCATCCCGAGGCAAGCTCCCTGTAGTAGAGATGGAGGGTGACCCCAGACTTTCACTGTGGCCAGTGCTAGTTCTGGTGATGCCCAGCGCCGGAGTCAGGTAAGAAGGTGGCTTCCCCAGAACCGGCTTCAGACATTGAAGCTCCCACACAGGAGGAAGAACCAGCAGGTGCTTGAGAAGCAGGGCAGAGGGAGCCAAGGCAGGGTACGTGCTGTTCTGATCCAAGACCCTTCCCCCAGCAAGTATGGCCCTCCCTGTGTCCCCAGATCAGCTTTGAAAATCAAATGCTGAGCCAGTTTGTCCTAACTGGGGACATTTTTAACATACTCATAAAGGAAAAGATATAAGTCACAGCCATGCTCCACCTACAGTGTGCTCAAAGCAGTACCCCGTCACCCCCATATGCATGGGTTATGAAACCCTTTCTCCAGTGTCACCATACGACTTCTGAGGGGCCCAGTCACTTTGCCTTCATGGTCCCCTTCCTCTATAGAAAGTACTAGAAATTGTATTTTATTATAGATTTGGCTTTCATTGGTTTATTTGGTTTTTGTTGTACTAGGGATTGAGCCCACCAGCTCTACCACTGAGCTACATCGTTGGCCCTTCTTATTTTTTATTTTGAGACAGAGTCTTGTTAAATTGCCCATATAGGCACCAAATCTGCAGCCCTCCTGCTGAGCCTCCCAAGTAGCTAGATATGAAGGCGTGTGCCATCCCATCCAGCACTGAGTTGGCACTGACAGGGTGCAGGGCACACTACCCCATAGAATGGCATCTTGGCATCGAGAAAACAGCAGAAGTTGGAATATCTCTCTCATCCCTTCCCTTCCCTTTCTTCCCTGGTGCAGGTGGTACAAAGATTCTCTGTAGAGGACCTCGCCAGTGATGTGTTCCCTGCACACAGAGGAGAGGGAAGTCTTGAATCCTGAAGACACAGAAATTCTTCAGTAGCCAGCCTTCGGTCAGATATTTCTGTCCTCCAAGCACTTTTGCATGGCTGTCCATAAAAATCACCTTCCCTGAGTCTCCCATACCACCCGTGCTTATGTTAAGTACATTGTTGTGTTTTCCTCTTATTGATCTAATTTTTATTATAGGTACCTCAGCCATGAACATTGTGGCAGTGAGGGAATCTTTTCTGTCCTATAGTGTAAAGAAGATTATATGAAAACATAAATATAATCCCAAAGGTTCCTCTTCCTTTCTAGTTAAAAAAGAAAGAAAGAAAGAAAGAGCCGGGCATGGTGGCTCATGCCTGTAATCCCAGCACTCAGAAGGCTGAGGAGGGAGGATTGTTGTGAGTTTGAGACCAGGGTGGGCTACAAAGTGAGCTCAAGCCCACCCTGAACTGCATAGCGAGACCCCATCTCAAAAAGACAAAAAGAAAGAAAGAAAGAAAGAAATTAAGCCACTTCCATGTGTCCCTAGAAGTACAGCGGATTCCAGAATTAAGACGTGGTATGTGCATGTATCAACTCCCCATGATGACTATAACCCTTATGTACTGCAGATGTCTTAATAAAAATAAAAACAAAGTAAAATTTCAGTGCTTGAAACAACAATTTGCCTTACATAGTTCTATGCCTCCTTCCTGTGTAGAGGGGACCCCGTCTTGGAACAGTTAGTGGCAGAGTGGCAGATCACATCTGGGCCTGACTGGAGTCACCGCGTGAAAGAATCTTGCCATAGGCGGACACTGTAGCACGTAAAGCCTTGGAGGCCGAACCAAAGAGCTCTATGTTCCCCGCCCCTAGGAATTCACCTGTGGCGCCAAATGAATGCCAATGGGCTACCTGTGCATCACTAATGCCCCTTAGGCTCCGCCCCAAACCTAAGCTACATGTATGCCTCCACACCACGTGTCCAACGGAGAGATGCCAACCCCGGGGAGAGAATGCCAGCCCCCGGGGACTATGCCGGACCCCAGAGGGTTTTTTTTTGTTGTTGTTGTTGTTTTATTTTTTTTTTTTGTTATTTTATTTTATTTTATTCTTAAAATAAAGGTCATTTATATTTCATACTTCTTATCTTTTTAATTGGTACCGGGGATCGAATTCACGACTGCGCGCTTGCAAGGCAGGTGCTTATGCTGCTGAGCTAAATCCCCAGCCCCATGCTTCTTTTAGCTGCCACAATTCTATCATGTGGTATCTCTCCCCCGGGTTGGTGATCTCTCCATGAGACACGTGGAGTGGGGGCATACACGTAGCTTAGGCTGGGGGTGGAGCCTAGGGGGCCTAATATTAGGGATGCACAGGTAGCCCATGGGTATTCATTCTGCGCCAGAGGCAAATTCCTAGGGACGGGAAGATGGAGCCCCTTGGTTCCGCCTCCAAGGCTTTACAGGCTACAGTGTCCGGCCTCCGGCAAGATTCTTGTACCTTGGGCTTCCCAAATTCACTAAGGAGGCGGGAGTGGCACATTTCTGCTGTGCTTCCTGAGGCTGAGAACGAGAGTTCAGTACCATCCTGACTGGGATCACTTTGATAATTTCCCCCTTTTTCCTTTAATTCTGCAGGGCATAGCCAGTGGCTCCATTTTAGGGTGGAGGAGATAGCGTGGGTCACTTGTCACCCACCTGCCAAGTCACTGGTGACACCTTGTGGTAGCTGAGAAGCACCAGCGGCCAGGAAAAGCCATGGGCAGCCAGCCGTCTCCACACTGGCCCCCAGGGGCTGAGTGGGCACTGGGGCAAGGACTCAGGGCTACGCAGGGGAGGGACGAGGCTCTCACAGGGACTTGTATCATGGAAACAATGTGACCTCACTTTGCACGTCCAGCCAGGGGCACAGGACACCTGATGCACAGCAGCCTATGTGACAGGAGCCTTTGTTATGGTTGGAAAGTATTGAGAGTGACATTGTTTAGTGTCCATAATAGAAGCTAAAGGGAAACCAGTGTGGTGGCTCACGCCTGTAATCCCAGCACTGATGAGGCTGAGGTGGGAGGATCATGCAAGTTTGAGACCAGCCTGGGCTACAAAGTGAGCTCAAGGCCAGCTGAACTGCATAGCAACATCCTGTCTCAAAACAAAAACAAAACCAAAAAAAAAGGGAAAAAAGCAAGATGCCTAAAGTGTAACTGCAGATGACAATTTTAAAAAATCTGTATATAGCAGATATAGAGTTCATTTCTTTATTTTCTCTTCATCGACTGAATTCTATCTCACTGCTCTCACTCATGGAGAATTTACCATCAGTTATTTTTCGGGTTCTCTAATGCCACAGTTATGGGGGATCCCTGGTCCACAGCAGCAAAACCATGTGGTGCTTCTGCACATTTTGGTCCCGCCGACACAGCCTTCTCCGGATTGACAGCGTCACTGTGGATGCTGGGGGCCTGTTATGATGTAAGAATCTGGGGGCCCAGAGACTTGCTTCTTCAGAGAGGGTCTGAAGAATCCCAAAGTCTTGCCACCCCGCTCTCTCCCTCATTCCCAAGTCTCTCCTTCCTCAAGACCTCACCTGCTGCTTCTGGACACCAGCTCTCCCCCGGATTTCAGTTTTCCAGAAGAAGAATACTCTCCTTGCTAAAATGCTGAAGGAAAGGGAGAACAGCCACACGGAAACTAGATAAACTCCCAAAGACTGAACTTTCAAGATCTTAAATATATTGACTTGCTTTATATTTTGTAATGTTAAGTATGCATGGGAAAAATTTAGGATGCCCACTAAAATAATTAGAGTTGAGTGTACCTATTCTCTGGAAAGAGGAGCTTCAGCAAAGCCTGAATTTCCCTGTGGAAAAGGAAACGGAGGAAAAATACAGAGAACAACACGAAGGGTCAGGGAAAAAAAATTGTCACGCATACATGTAAATATATACAGTGGTATCTCAAGATTTGTCATTAATTGGTTTTGGGAATCATGGCAAGTACCAAACAAAGTGTTTAGTCTGGGAAGGGAATCAAGGCAATCAATACCAAGTTCTAGCTTGCACATTGGGGACCAAACACGATGAGGACCAGCACAAAATTCTCACCTACAAACGCAGTGAGTATCAAATCCAACAAGTCTCAAAGCAGTCAAGTAGCAAATGTATGACTACGTGAGAAATACTTCTTAAAGATACAGAATCCTTTAGGGAGATTGTGGTCCTGGGTGAGTTTTAATTTCTTTTTCATGCTCTGATAGCCAACCCAACCCTGAACAACCCGCTGCCTGTGCCCACATCCTGTGTGGTCCTCTCCCACGCTGTAGCAGTGTGCGTCTGCATGGCCGGCAGATACAGCGAAGGGACGGCCTGTTAGGTGGAGGCTATCAAAGGCTGTCACTTCTGGCTTAGGCCTGTTCCCGCTTGAGGTTTCTCTCCCATCATTTGTGTTTGCAGGGAGGGCAGCTTTATCAAGAGCCCTCCATGGCCTCCTGCCAGGAGCCACAGCTGTGTGTGTGGAAGCTTTCAGGGCACAGCAACCCAGGCAACATCTGGGCTGTGCTTCCGAAGAGGCTCCTAGTCAGAACCACCTAGCTAAGCTGCACCCAGTAGCTGAGAGAGAACAAAGTCTGTGGTTTCAAGCCAGTGGGCTATGAAGATCATTTGTTACATAGCAATGGATAACCATTACAAGACTTGTTATTCCCCAATTTTCAAATTCTGCATAACATACATACAGATGGTCCTCCAGATCTGTGGGGATTCTGAATTTGTGGATTCAATCAACCATGAATCAAAATTATTTGGAAAATCATTATGTTTGTGCCAAACATGCAGATAGTTTTTTCTTGGAATTATTCAATATAGTATGGGAATGTATTATACAACTATTTACACAGTATTTGTACTTTAATGCACTGTCAGTTACATAACATCATTTAAAGTATATGAAAGGGTGTGTGTAGGTTATTTGCAAATACTGCATCATCTTATAGTAGTTGTGCATGCTCAGATTTTAATATCCCCAGGGATCCCAGAACCAATCCTCCATGGGTTCTCAGAGATGGCTGCATATTGCTGTACAACTAGAAAAAGAGTTTCAATGATCAATCAAGTAAACCTTTCATTCCAATGTGATAACAAACCACTTTCTCAGTCACCTTGTAAGGAATGCACAAAGGCCTCTCAAGAGCCCCTCTATTAGTTCAAATGAGGCTGAGCAGGGCCTGCCTGGATTTTTATTTTGAGAGAGGGCCTAGCCTTGCAAAATAGCTCATGAAAGGGGATGAGGCTCCCCTTGTGATCTAGGTGTTGCAAATATAGCAAAAACTCAGTTCATTTCCTCAGGAAATTAGATAACTTTTAAACTTGATTAATGGTCACAAGTGCTACATAAGCTAATGAATTTCAGCATTTTGACTCCAATATGCCTGCATGGTTGTGTTCACAGAGGATTTTCTAAAGCTGGAATATACAGTTTTCTTTTGAAGGCCTAGAGCCCAGGCTGGGGAGGTGAGAAGAAACCTGCCGCTGAGCCAGAAGGCTTACCTTGGCCAGAGAGTGGCTCTGAGGATCTGGGGTAAGTCGCTTTGTCCCTCTGGGCCCCATTTTCCTCCTATGAAAAGGACAGTGTTGGAGAATATTGTTATCTCTAATGACCTTGAAGTATGTTCCTCTGTAGTCCTGCTCTATCTGCCACAGGATTTTGATTCTTCCATGACAACCCATCTTGAGGCCAGCCTGATGGTAACCCTTGCAGCGTTCCAGTAAATTAAAATGATCTAAAAGACTAATTTCTCTATCGCAGTAGCAACATTTCAAGTGCTCAGTAGCCACTTTTGCTTAGTGACCAAGATCAGACAACATAATCAGAACATCCCATCATCACAAGAAGTCTATGACACATGGCTCCGAGCCTGGCCTACAAACTGTGGTCTGCAGTCTGCATGAGCATCACCTGAG